GAGAGGGGTTGTTGTTGTCTTAAAGACAAAAAGCAGTGTAAAACTAGTTTGCTAAAAATTGCTGTGCATTTCTTTTGTTTTTTAATTTGCATTGTTAAAAGTAGGCCTGTAGGCTATGGGCATGTTATATCTGCCAGTGGAAAAACTAAACAAGCTGAATGTCTTTAAGCAAGAATATTGCACTCCTTAATCTTCGTGGACCAAAAAAATGGATGAAAAATGTCATGTTTCTTGGTTTAAGAGTTTTAAGTCTGTTAATTCAAGATGTAATGAGCATGGAGTGTGGAGTCCTGGACATTTGGAGTTGAAGAGTTACTGCTTCCTAAATAAAACTAAGCGTTGTGTTTTTGCTGTTTTCCCCCCCTCCAGAGAAGCATGTCATCGCGATATTGTGAATTTGCAAGTGGAGATGATCAAACAGTTCCACATGCAGCTGGTATGTACAAAAAGCAGTGCAGGAAGGATTCACAGCTTTCATTTTTAGGAATAGACTGTCAACTACTTTAGTCAAAACCAAAAATCAGTTTTGCTCATTAAGAACCACAAGATGCCAGGTTACAGAAGGGCAAAATGTGCCTAAATATTAAAATTCTTTTTGGCTCGATAAATAAATGGAGCATATGCATTGGGTAGGTATCATGAATTCCATATTTCAGATATGAAAAGATAAAGGGCAAGTAAATTCAGCAGTCCCTTGGAAAGGACCAGGAGCTGGGATATGATGGAATTAGAATTCAAGTAGAAAACTTCTTCTACCAGTACAGCATGCATGCTGAAACGTGTCTGTTCATTACCTTTACCTTCTTATGCATCTTTATTCTTTTGGTCTCCATTAAAAAGACCGAGCAATTTAGTGGCAACTGCATTAATAGAGTCTCTTCCTGTAGAAGTGTGAAATATGCTTTGATAAAATATTCACTAATGTATTAATGATCAAAATATTGTATGTCAGCATAACAAAATCTCACTTTTCATACCAAAAGTTTAAAGACAGCATTATCTCGCTTGCTTAATTTTCAAAAAGGTTATAAAAATGGATAAGGTAGAACTGGGGAACTTTATAGCTGCTGATTAGGGTTTTTTTTTCTTTTCTCTAGAATGAAATGCATGCCTTACTTGAAAGATACTCTGTAAATGAAAGCTTAGTAGCTGAAATTGAGAGATTACGAGAAGAAAACAAAAGACTGAGGACTCACTTCTGAAAGATTCACACTGCTAATTTTATTAGCATGAACTCACTACATCTTGTTGCTTATGACAGATCATCCGTCATCACTGAAACATTGTATGAAAATCTACTATCTTGAACATGAATCTTTTCTTCTAAATAAATGGTGTAAGATACTATATTTAATTCTAAAATTTGTCATAGATAATGTATAAAAATGTTCACATATTCACGGTAACCACCTTGAAATACATCCATCTAACTAGAAAAACTAAAAGGATAAATACATTCATTACCAGAGTTTTAGCTATGTGAAGTGCCTTTTTATAAACAAAATGAATGAGGACAAATGCATCTTTCATAAGACTTTTTGAGAAACCTGTTTTCCTATTTGCTTCTTTATTTTACTATTGTCACAAAGAATCATTTTAGCTTGCCTTTCAGATACTTTCGGAGAATAACTGGGGAGAAAGCTCATCTTCTGTATGACAATAACTTTGTTTGAAAGGAGCTGGAAACTACATAACTCTATCCAGCTGGCAACTCTTCTATCCTGAGTAAAACTAGAGTTCAGAAATATTCCTGGATTCAGTGCCATTACCTTGCTTATTTTCATAACTCTGAAATGTACTTGTCTGCATGAGCTTTGTTCCTGAAAATGCAATCCTCAACCACAGGATGAAATTTTTTTACAACTTTAGTTGTGAAACTAGATTTCTTTTATTTTCATATATTTGAATATTTTCATAACTTGCCCAAGTATGAATGTAGCTTTAGACTTCAAAATGTAAGTAAACGCAGCCATTAATAATATATTATTGTGTAAATGGGATCTTTCCGACTTAAGGATCTTTTTCTTCTCCCTCGTTCCTTTGCATTCCTGGTGGTCAGAACTTTGCATATCAGCATTTTGTTGATTTCTGACGCTTGCTGTTTTAGCAAGGTCGTAGCCTTTCCCTTAGATGAGCCGCATACCAAATCCAGCTCTTCTCAGCTGTATGCTTAACACAGCAAGTGACGCTGAGGAGGAATCTTGAGCCCAGGAGCGCAGTGCTGCCAGACAGGTATGTTCCTGTTTGTGAAGTTGCGGTCACTATGAAGTCCTGACTCTGCTGAAGTCCATAGGTGGTTTCGAGTGCCCTTTAGTAGTGCCGAGAGATTATCCAGACTCCAAATGAAAATTCTCTAGAAGGCCTCTGCTACAAGTGCTTCTTGGAATTAAATTCTTCTGGGGGCCTCTTAATTTTCCCACTAATATTTGCCCTCCCGCCCCCTCTAAACAAATAATTATTAAAAATTGAAAAGGCTGGAAGCATAACTGAGTTAATTAGGTACAGCTAATGTTTAAATGCATCATGGCACTCTTCCACTAAATGGCAAAGCCATAGTATATAGTGTAACTTATTTGAAATATTGTAAAACTGCAGCATAACTATTTGTTGAAAACTACCTTTTCTATCTTTCCTGTAACTTTTTTTAAAGAAAACGATTGATACTTTATTTTTCTAAATGCCAATCAATGACAAATACTATTCTTGTATCAAAATGAGAATGTTCATGTTCTCTTCAATATTGCAAACAGGATTTAAAATGACTGCTTTCATAAGCTTTTTAAAAATATTTCTATATAATGTATAACCGGGATGAAAGGAAGCCACGTAAGCCAAAATTATTTTTAATAGCTTAACAAAGTGTAGAGAACACTTTTGTGAGTTTGTGAGATGTGTTAAGTTGAACTGACACATTATTAACCACAGTTCTTCAAGACCATAGTATCTGAACTTAGTAGAAGTATCTCACAGTTCTTTAACATGTTTTGCAATGTTAACAAAGTAACTTTGCATATTTGAATCTCTTGGTTTGTTCCCCAAGTGCTCTTCCTAGTATACCCAGATTACAGCAGGGAATTAGACAAGTATCTTGGGTATTTGGCTTGTAGATAACTTTTCTTGATTCACAACTCTCTGATATACTCCCAACTGTCTGTTGTACTCCTTAGCTCCCAAGTGGAGGATATTATAGCAAGAATGATCCCCATATCTCGGGATTGCTGTAGCACAAGTGATCATATACTGTGTGATATGCTACACAGACACAATATGCTATGCTAGAGGTATGTCTTGCCTGATACACAAATCTGATTTGTATGTAAAATAAAGTTTGTTTTAACCTTTCTGAACAAAATGCTGTGGTCACCTCTTCTTTACTGAGAATAAGCTATATTGTAGTTGTGCTACATCATAGCAGGCTCTTAGAGCCAAAGAATTTGGAGATCTCTCTAGACTTCTTTTTTATAGCACTCTTTGTTGCCCCTGTTATTTCTACCTAGAGCATCAGATCCTTTTCACAGATGTGTTTCCATTGCCTCATGCTTTTGGAATAAAGAACAGATGTACATTTTCTTCAAAGTTGGAAATTGCTGCAGTCATGCCTGAAATAATGTTCACAGCTAAAAATAATTATTAAAGCAGAGGTTTGTATGCAGGAATAATTTTGTCAGCTAATATACTGGTGAGGAGGTGGTCATAGAAGCTGTATCTTCCTACTTTGATGATGAATTGGGTAATTGTTCACTGCCCCTTCTATATACAAGGATCCACGATATCTATACGGTATCTATACAAGGATATATGCCCTCTATCCAGGGGCAGATGAAGAGGAAGAAAATGTTTCACAGAGTGCATCCCTACACACTACCACGCATGCTGAATGTTCAGAGGAAAAACTGTCAATTTGTCAACTCTTATCCAGATACACAGCTACCGTGTATGATTTGGGACGTTTCTCCTACTGCTGCATGCTGAAGACTGTCAGCTGAAGTAGCCCTGCATGCTTGCCCATCAGCACCCTGGTGCCTGGATGATTGTTACAGGCCCATGTCAAGAGTTGAACATTTTGTTCGGGCCTCATGGAAATTTTTATGTTACTTTGTGCAGAGCATCTGAGGGATACAGGTTAATGAATTCTTAAATAGCGACCCGTGGAAAGAATTTTGTGCTTTTCCTCTAGCATCCACTACCAGGCATTGCTATGATAAGATACCACAGTGAGAGGCAGGAAGAAAAATTGTGGGTTTTTTTGTGATAAACTGGACAACTAGGTACAAGCCGTGTTGCAGACAGGAAATAGACCCTTTTCTCTTACCCTGAAGTTACAGGCCCATAGGTGGAATTTCCATTTCTTCCTGTTGAAATTAGCCTACAGGTGGAAAAAGTAACATTTTCCAAATAAACTATCAGAAACATTTCTGGGGCAGTGGATGTAACAACACAGTTTGCTCTTCAAAAGCATTTGTATGTGTGTAAAGAGAGGGGAGATGAGAAGTTCTTCCTAAGGTTTACTGGTTCAGAAGGCACTTAACATTTGGTAGCAAGCTTAAACTCCTCCACTCAGTCTGCAAAAACTTCCATCTTTTTCTCTCTCCTTCTGGGTTCTGACAACTGGTGAGTAAGAGCAAAGGGAAGATACTTGTAGACTCTTGAAGTGTGTTCATTAATGTCAGCGGCACTTTAAATGTCCACACGTAAACTGAAGCATAGTGTATCATGAAGATCTGGACAAACTGTATTGGGAAAAGTGGAATTGATGTAGGAACAGCTGTACCTTTGCTTCTACAGTGCCCATCCAAAAGCAGTTGCAATCTCCAAAAGCAGTTCCAATCTCCAACTCTTGTGTTCATGCTAGGGGAATATCATTCTTCTCTAGTTCTAAGCTTATAAGAATACATGGTACCTAATACAGGGGAAAAGTGTTTCAGAATTCATTTTTATAAATTTGTGTTACCAGTGCACAGCATACAGAATGACTGTGTATGCAGTGAGCTTTCACTGGTGATAGTTTTGTATAATTCTGAAGTTACAGAAAGTCAGCTGTTTTCTGAAAGTAAGTTGTCTTCCCAAATTCTCAGATGGGCTGACCAAAAATAGCAAAAACAAAAACAAATGTTGTTTGAAAGTCTTGGTTAAGTCCTAGCCCTGTAAATACATTCAAAAACATGAAAGTTTATTTATTTTTTTTTTTTTTAAAAAGGCAAACTTTAAAAACCTAGATCAAATTAGCCCTCCTAGTTTCTAGTCCATGCTCAGAAGTAATTCTGGGTTTATTCTGTGGCAGTTCTCATCTCTGATCATCTTTATCAGTCAAAATTCTGAGACACCTTATTATCCAAGCCTAACTCATTAAACAGAATGATGCAAGACATATATAATGCCTTAACTGAGTGCTTTCATCTGCCAATTAATCTGTTATCCGCATGTGTTTTAAACTTCTGCTATATGCAAGTGTCTGCAGGATTTGGCCTGTAGTAATTTCATTACTGAAGACTTGTTACTGTCTAAATAAGAAAGTCAAATTTTGATCAAGTAGAGCCTGCAACCTTGCACCGCACTACACAAAACTGGCCTTAAGAACACGGCGTGTAATGCTGAGGCTGACCCTCCATGCTCTCCCGCAATGTGGAGAAGGATTAGCACTGTTCAAAATATTTGTGCTCCGAGTTTGCATGTCTTACCAGCTCCTTGGTCTGTGGGAAAACAACTGACTCTCGGCAGTAACAGCTGGATACCCCCTTCCTCTCCAAGGCATCTGGCCCCACTGCCAGATCCGCCCTCCGAGATGGCGCACGGCACAGTCCCATCCTGCGCCGCTGCGCCAGGCTAGTTCACTGCTGCACTTCATAGGTGCTCTGTTGTGCTTAGTTGAAACTGGTAATGCAAAGGGACTTCGCATGGTACGTGTGACGTGCGGGAGCCTTGCTGATATCTGCATAAGCGGCATTGCTTGTTTCCATGGTGACTTGGAAGCTCCAGAAGAGGAAAGCCAACCTAAAAAAAAAAAAAAAAAGACAAGAACAGGAGAGGATGCAGGGAGCTAACTGCACTTCAGTGACATATATTTGAATTGTCTGTTTTTCTTCTGAAGTGACGAAAAATCTAGATGTGATAGACAAGTGTTCCCAAGCAATAATATTAAGATTTTCCTTTTTGCCCATGCCACAGTTGACTTTTTCATGTATTTTGTTCAGTTTTGGTAATTTTTAGGGATCCTTTTTACACTAGATATTAGGAAAATAGCGGTGGTATCGGTGTGGCTGTTAACCAAGCACCACCTCTAGCTG